AAAGAAAAGGGAAATATGACATATCTTTGAAAGCTCTACTCAATGCAATTCTTACAGAGCAATCATACAAAACAGAAATGAAGAAAATTAGTTGAATCTATGTCAGAGTATAATTTAAGCTAACTGATATCGGAAAAAAATATTGAATGTTATTTTATTGTAACATTTTAATTAAATATACACGGTTCTTTAAATACTTATTAATGTTCATTTTCAGAAGCTTTTTAATAATTTTTTTTAAACAAAAACGCTTTAAATAACCTTTTCGAAAATAGCAGGTTTTAAAAAAGATGATCAATGGTATACATTAAAAATAGTTTTTCGCTAGTATTTAGTAACTGATATTTACAAACAAAATTGAAAAACACAGGCGTCCAAAAGTAAGTGTAAGTTGTTATATATACACTGCTCTCCAAAAGTTAAAGAACAGCATGTTTTTTTGTCTAATTTGAGAATGAAGCAGCATAAAAACAAGAAATTTACAGGACATGTTCACTAAACAGTTCTTTAATGACTGCAACATAGAATGTTCCTAAAGTTCAATACAAACATAAATTATAACAAACTCTAGTAAGGGATGTGTCCACCCCTATGTGCTATAAATTGGTGGTAGCAACATTCCATGCTGTCAATTAAGTTGTCAGTCAATGAAATGGGAAGTAATTACCAAACAGAGTAATCCTTGTTCAAGATCATCTAACGACCTTGGAGGAGGATTTAAAGAAGCAACCTGTATCGCAAGGTAGTCCCAAAGATGCTCTATCGGATTCAAGTCTGCGGATTGAGCTGGCCATTCCTACAGCTCTATACAGTGACCCTCAAGATTTTCTTTAGCAACCCGAGCTCGGTGAGGTCATGCATTGTTGTTCATCAAAAGAAATTCAGCACCAATAGCAGTGGCATATGGGTGGACATATTGATCAAGAATCTTGTCTCAATGTCTTACACCAGTCAAAGTTCCTCCATGGAACACATGCAGGTCAGTGTGACCACTGAGAGAGATCCCAGCCCAAACCATTATTCCCCCACTTCTGTAACTGTGTCTTTTCACAATGTGGGATTGATTGTATCTGGTGCATTGTTCCCTCCATATCAGTTGATGACCTGAATCACACTCCAGGGTGATCATGAACTCATTTGTGAAGAGAAAAGATGCCCATTGTTTACTGGTCCAGGAGACGTGTCCTCTTGCCGAACATAAACGAGCACCTCTGTGTCCTCGGGTCAAGGGGACATGAACAACTGGTTGTTTTACATACAGACCTGTATTGTGCACCATAGTAGCTAAGGCACAGAAATGCTACTCCTCCTTTGGGCCAAAAGAGCTAAATAATGGTTTCTTGCAGGTGTTGTAACTTTAAGTCTGCTTGGACACAGAATCCTCAAATTAAAACTGATTCCATAGCCAGTGGACCATACTAAGAGAGACATTAAGATGTCTAGCAGCATCAGCTTGTGACATCCCCATTTCCATCCATCTGATCGCTTGCCACCTCAAGGAGTTGGGCAGACGACTTCTCCTGGACATTGTTCATGAAACTGTAATAATAGCTGAAACTCAACATTTGTGAACAAAAATTACAATTTTTGCATTTTTTCTCTAACTCCTCTGTAAGTATTAATTTCTATAATTTCATTGTTTTTGCACATATTTTCTTTAACTTTGTTACTGTCACATATGAACTGTGAATTTATACGTTATTGACATTTTTGTAATGGTGTGCTTTGAAAATCATGCTGTTGCTTTACTTTTGGAGGGCAGTGTGTATATATATGCAAGATAAAAAATATATAAATCAAAATTATAATTTAAACTAAATGGATAAAACATTAATTCTCCCTATCTGTTTTAAAATTTGTAATAACTTCTTCCTTCAATATGGACCTATGTACGCATCAAGACTGCTCAGTCTTTTTCCTTGCTTTAATTATCATATATATACATTTAAAAAAAAACTGATGTGTACACCACATGACTTCCTTCTACGGAATATTAAATTATACAAATTATATAAAAATATATATAAAAATATATAAAATATATAAAAATTTTTTCTTGCATTTCATTTAAACCTATTGGATTGAAATAAATCTACTTCGTCCATAATGCGTAAACCACAACAGAATAAATGCACTCTTTAAAATTCACTATATTTGTTTACTATAGCGACACTGGTGCTAGGATCAAATAATAGTTTCCAAGTTCCTGTTTTGTCGTGATTATCAAGCAAAATGCATGATTTGTACCGGTTTTCATCATGTGATTGCACAAAGGAGGCAGAAGGTAGACTGAGTCCAAGCCGTAGGTCCAAGAGGGCAGGAGCTGATGGTGAAAGGGGTATGACTGCTTGTCACGTGAGCAGTAAGCAAACATGGCATTGGTAGAGGGATTTCAAGGGAAATTCTGGTAAAATAGCATATTTACAAAATTCAAAGCAAGTAATAAACAAATAATAATTAAAATGGGTTCAATTGACAATCTTTTTGTGCTATTTACAACTATACAAATGCCAAAGTTCAAAAGGAAAGTTAACAAAACATAATGATAGAGTCCGTGGGTCACGTGGGTGGTCACACACCCAAGTGAAGGCTCAGAAGTACACTTAGCGTTACATTTCATTCGTTTGATAATGCACAAATGCACAAAATTCATATCATTCATTCATTATCTGACTGTTGCCACATGTTCTATTCAAATACTATATTAAATCTAAAACGACGTATGAAAGAATTTAAACAAACATCAATAAAAAAAGTTTTTTACAGATGATTCAGTATTTTTCATTCAATTAATTCAGTTCTCACTTCATGACATAAAAACTCAAAATATCTATATTAAAAATTACGACGTAAATCTTAAACACTTATTTCCTCGAATAAATTCCAGCATGGATTAAGCATGATTTAATTTGCAATAATAAAGGCATTATCTTTGTTGCTGCGAAGCTTACTTTCTCTTGATTGGCAACAAATCCACTATTCTGCCAAGTTTCAAATGTAGTAAACAAACATGGCTGCCATGCAAAAGTAATTAGGCTTAGCAGCACTTAAACAATTTTTAAATTGTTGATTAATTCTACAAATATTGCATGCCGGTTTTCTAAGGGCGAACAATAAAAACATTGACTGAAAGAACAATATAATTCAATCATTTTTAAAGCAAAAAATGTACAATTTACAAACGTATAAGAATAAAGAATCAGATCATTGAGCCGACTAACAGATTGGATATGTACACATATTTATATCCTTTTGGTGCATGCAACCAAAATAGCAGGTGCACATCTATATGTTATAGCAGTCCTATATACAAAATTTCAATGTCCTGAGGTTACTCGTTTCTGAATTTTACGAGACACCTACACACAGACGGCACGAAAAATTCTTTTTAGAATCCATTTAAAATCAGTTTTATAATTTTCTTTGGGGGAAAAGAGTCCTTTATTCTGTCCTTACAGATGACATGCAAAAACAGCGTTAAATTGCATCCAATAGTGGTCAAAATGGATACTTGACTGTTGAAATACGATACCTGAAATATTTCGCGATTACAATACAGTCAAAAGTCGTTAATTCGGACCTCAAAACTATAAACTTTCTGCGCATGCGCCGCGTTGACACATGCGCATAGGCGTTTACGCGTGCTCGTAAGACCTTTTACGACTGCGCATATGAGTGTGCGCAAGTGCAGAATACGTTTTTGCGTGCATGTTTTATGTATAATGGACGTATAAGCTAAAATTATCTAATTATCTATTTCAGTTAATGTTGATGATTGCGTTGTTCCTTAATTTTCGAATTGGATCCGGCTTATTATTTTTTGCAGACTGTAAGAGCAATTTTATAAAAGTAAGCTTAAACTTTCGATTATATCAAATAGAATTTCCGATATATATTTGTTAATATGTAAAGGATCTAAAGCGAAAGTATGTTTTGAAATCCGAAATCTGTTTATCAATTTCACGCTGCTCGGCGGGGGGAACGTCGCGGCGGCCGCGTAATGAATTGGAAGTTGATCTGTCAGCACTATCCTTATCTTCAGCGCAGATGTTTTTATTTTATTTGGCTTATAATTCCTTACCAAATGTAGTATTTCATCTCGATATGCTCCGTCTTTGATATGATTTAAAAGAAGTTCCTCGTCATTATAATTCGCTTCCGATAGCGAAGAAAAGTGACAGAGGTTATTGAAAACGAAAAAATTTCGATTGAAAAATTAGTCGGTGTTCTTGACACAGCAATTATAGGACTTGAACAGCGGAACTTTGTAACTGAACAAGAAATTATGTCTGTTTAATAGAATTAAAGAGAAAGTTTTATCACATGAAACGAAGCAACTTACATTAAAAGAAATGTTTAATAAAGTAAACAAATAAATATTAAGCTTTTTCTTTTTGCAAATTTTGATATCCTTTAGATCATAATTGTTCTTCATTTTATAAATTACGGTTTCATATTTTTAATTAGAATTTCTGCATGCCATCTAACGAGATTTAAACTGATGATCTATAATCCGGAAAAATCGATAATCCGGAATCGCCGAAGTCCCGACGAGTCCGGATTAACGACTTTTGACTGTACTTCCTTTTTACTTCGTACAAGGGAATAAAAAGAGGTACATCTTGTGAAGTTTTTTTTCTCAGAATTTTTTTTTGCAATTTTGTGTGACATTCTGGTCATGTTAAAAATTGCCAATTCTCGTAATGCATTTAAAGATATATGATACAAGATCAATACAAGAAATACTTATATGATATATGAAGCACATTTGGATGTTAATTAAAATTTAAATATCAATAGCATAGACTCTTATTTAGTAATAAATAATGAATAGGTAGAGTTATTGTAAGTAACTTGAAATCTATCATAATGAAAATCTTTATTATATTTTTGTTTTTGATGCTACTGAAAATAAGTTGCATTGTAAATGGATGTTATCTGAAAATAGTACACATGTTCTGTTTTTGTTATATCTTTATCTGCTTTTCAACAAAATAAAATCTCAGTATAAACTAATATTTATTTTATAGAACATTTTTATAACCTAATGCTTTCAACTTATTTTAATAACATTTTTTCAATCAAATATTGTGAATAGAATCATAACATGATTGTATTGTCTTACGAAAAACCAATTTATAATAGTCAAGCACTAGCGCATTCTGCTGTTTCAACATTTTCTGCTTGACTTTCTCCACATTCATAGCGTTCAAAATGTAGCAGTTCTATTCCAGAGTTGTATAAAATTTCACCAACAGTCATACTGGAATCGAGTAAATATGGCTGGTACAGCATACGTGTTTCATTTGAATCTTTCATATTAGACACATATTGAATATCAGCTTCTTCATCAGCTTTATCTTCTGATGTCTCCACAGAATCATTTGATTGTGAATCTTTTTTTTGAGTTTTGGAAGAATCACCTTGAATATTTTGTGTAGATTTTAAAGATAACAGATCCTCTTCAGTCATCTGGCCTAAAATGGTTGGGTTCATGCCAATTATATGCTGACAAAGATTTAATCCTAATTCATTCAGATTGATGTCAGATTTGATATTGTCTTTTGAGAATGCTAATAAAGCTCCATATTTTCCTATAAGAATAATAAATATTAACCATGATTACAGTAAATAACACTAAAAATGCAAACACTAAAAGTTTAAATTCTCTAAATATATTTTTAGATTAAAAAAAAATTAATATAAATTTCAAAAAACTTTACTCTCGCAACACAATATTAATTTTTTCTAAAATTAAATAGTAACAAGTATTTAGTCATATTTAATTCTTATCATCTAAAAGAAAAATATTGATAATTACTGTATTCCCCTCTCTCTTTTTCAACTTATTTTATCATCTGAAAAATGTGGTTACAGTAAGAACATGTAGTGATTACATGGTGCGAGAGACCTCAGTGGGTTCTGGTATTTTAGCTACCTGGTACATGGAATTCAAGAATTCTTACTGTTTCAAATATGCAAGCATTAAGTGGTTCTCGAGATGGCTTTATACAGTACAAAGTCCGTAATCTGGACGTCCATTATACGGAATGATCTATAATCCAGACCTCAAGGCCACAAACTTATGCATGCGCGTAAAGCCAGTAAAGCGTTTACCCATGTGCGCTTCCGATAGTGAAGAAAGTAACAGAGAACGTTATTGAAAACGAAAAAAATTTCGATTGACAAGTTAGTCGGTATTCTCGACACAGCAATTACAGGATTTTAACAGTGGAACTTTGTAACTGAACAAGAAATTATGTCTGTTTATAGAATTGAAGAGAAAGTATTAGCACAAAAAATGAAGCAACTTAAAAACTTACATTGAAAGAAATGTTTACTAAAGTAAACAAATAAATATTAAGCTTCACTGGATCAAAAAACAAAACTGAGCATAGTACATCTGAAAGCCCTTTTTGAAAAGTTAAGTAATTATGGGTTAATTATACATGTATCTAAATGTATTATTAGTTTAACATCTTTGAAATATATAGGTTTTCATGTATCTGATCAGGATTTAAACCTTTATCTCGCACGGTGAAAGCCATTCAAAATTTCCCCAAACCAAACTGTTTCTTGGCATTTTTTACTTTTATAGACGTTTTGTTCCAAGAGCTTCACCTGTTTTAACTCTCTGAAATAGGTTATTGGAAAGCCACATCAATAAAAAGAAACTTCCATAGCCAAGTAAAATAAAAGAACACCCTCTCAAATGGCACAGCGGAGCTAAGCATTTACCAATGCAAAAAAGGTAATCACCGAGGCAATCCTTCTCAGACGTCCAGTTCCTGGCACTACTTTGAAATTGTACTGATGCATTAATGCAATTGTGTAATTCAGTTTGGAAATTGATTGCATTTCTATCCGTTAAACTCGGTAAAAGTCAAAGGAAGTGGTCAACCTATGATCAAGAATGATTGGGTTTTAAATCAAGAATTTTCAGCACATGCTTGAAGTCTTTTACAATCTACACAGAAGAAAAACCCCCAAAATTTTTTCAATGACAACTTAACCACCTTGATTTTATTGGCCAATATTCTACTGATATATGATACATCAAAGGTAGGGACAACATCATTGCTGACACCTTATCCAGAGTAGAAATAGATGCAGTTTCTGATAATCAACATATTGATTACAAAAGGTTATCTGAAGCATAACTTCTGGAGAAACCAGAGAAACATTTTTCTTTAGATAATGTTGCTCTTTACTTCAATATGAACACAGGTACACCTCGTTTGGTCATTCTTGAATCTTTTTCCTCTAAAATTTTTCAGCAGATTCACTTATCTTTCTCATGCTCGCATTTCAGACTCAAGAAAGCTAATCACTAAGTGATATTTGTGGCATAATATGAAGAAATTGATTAAACTGCTGTTTAGTCTTTTCTATAATGCCAACATTCTAAAATTCATAGGAATTCAAAATCACATCTGGATCACCATTGTAGCGATCACGTGGTGCGAGAGACCCTGGTGCTTCAGGTATTGTAGCTGTTTGGTATGTGGTTGCTTGCTCATGTCACCATCTATTAGCACCAACGAGAAGTGCAGCAGTGCATACCCTTGAAGATGGTAATGACCTTAGGATCTGATCCTGATTTAAATTGAATAAAAAATAAAAATTAGTCATGAATATACTACTGGTAACTATCACAATATTATTTCTTTAAAAGAAACATGTTGCAATGAGAATATATAATAGTATATTGTGAATATTTTATGGATATTGAGCCAATGTATGATTGTAATTGAGCCAGAGCACAATCAGTGTTCATACACATTTCTGCACACAGAAATTAAGGACTATTAATGAGAAATTTAAGGACCTATTGGCAAATAATAATATAGCAAACTGAATAAATTCAGTTAAAGATATTATCTGTGCCTGAACTTCACTTTTATAATACCATCCTAAGATTAAAATAGATCTGTAAGTATGATGCATTATTATTAAATATAATTGTAAAACAAAATTGAAAATAAAAGTCAACTTTAAATCAAATTTATCAAGTAGCATTTAATATTTTACACTTACAATAGTTGAACATATTTGAAAGAAGATTAGTGACATTTTATTTATGTTTTGCAAACAGTTAACTAAATACTGATTTTTTTCTTTTGTCTCATTTTGTCACATACTTCCTCAGCCTAGAGATTTAGTAAATAGTAGGTATATTTTAATAAACGCTGGTGTAGAGCTTCAGTTAATATAATTTAAGGTACCAATAAGCTACTAAAGAACCACAGGTGACAAGTTGTTTTGTATTATTTTAAATCTCACTAGATGCAGAGAATAAGGTTTAGATAATTTTTTCATTTTTGTGCTGTACCTTATAAATCACAGTAAGGATTAATGAAAGGCAATAAATCACTTTAACATGTAGATATAATTTTAAAGGCTAAGCAGTTAGTTACAAATAATTAAGTTCAGTAGTTAGATACTTTCAGTCATTCTAAATTTACATAGCCACAATAATTTTTTTTAAATGTTTGTTAAATATCATTAAAATCACAATCTAATAACATTTCAGTTATGTAATTTATGCCTTTGATTCATAAACAATATTAGGTTAATTACACATTAAAATCCACAAAATATTAGTGTTTTGTAACAACACACAACAAAATATTTATGTGTCTTTTTAATTTGAAGCCTTCGCAGACATTTTAGCTAATTTATATCAATGCCCTTCTCAAACATATTTTCTAACAATTAGAAATTGATTTCAATATGCAAAACAATGTTCCCACTAGTTTCTGCATGCTTTATCTCCTAACTTGTTAATTTCTCAAGAATGTACCTATGAGGTTTTGCATGAACTGGTGAAAGTTAAATAGTCCATAACCCTGACAGAGATGAAGCAAATTATCGCTATGTCTGAAAGTAACTACAAAGTCAGATAAAGGTTTAAATAAACCTCTTATTTAAAAAAAAAAAAAAAAAAAAAAAAAAAACAACTACTTAGAACATAAAGGCACGTTCTTATGCTAACAAAATAAACTATAGCTCGTGGTGATGTAGTTAAACAGAAACAGACTAAAATGTGGACTAGCAGTCAATTTAATTTTAAGCTAAGCTGAACTCTATCATCATAAGAAATTCAAATGTAACGATAATGCAAAGATGAATAATTGCAAATTATCAGAGCTGGCAGGAACTAATGCAGCATGCACGCCGAAGCCAGAAACACACTCTGTTTTACAATTCAGAAACCTCAGTTTAGAAACTAACTAATTTTGCATTCTGGCGAGGAAAAGGAAAAGGGAAGTTACAGTAAAGACTGAAATTATACACAAGTGGTTAATTTATATTATAATAACTATACATATCTTTGAAGAATGCTTTTCTTTCTCTGCATGTATTCAGTTTCTTTCTTCAATACATTTTCCTCTTCATTTTAGAATTTTTGGACTTAATTAAAGATTTCTCTTATTCTAAAGACTACATGCACAGAAAAAGCTTCTAATTTTATTTCTTTAGTAATATGAACATTCAAAATAAATATGAAATGATACATGATAAGGCCCAGTTATGGAGCCAATGTGGCTGAATTTTTAGAATTTAGTGACCCGAGGAAAAAATCTAGAAATCTAGAAAAACTTATAGAACTTAGGAGAGGCACTGAGAGCAAAATATAGGAAGGCACTAGGTAGCAGAACTTAATATCCACAGAGATTGCATCAAGGGGGAAAATGTCTAGTACCGGCCTTCTGTATGACATACAAGATGAAGCTTTTAAAAGTTTGTTTTCAATTTCTTTATAAACAGAAAAACTCCTTTCTATAAATGTCTGTCTACGTGATGAGATTACAGTCATTTTTGATATTTTCCATGCATTTGTCTATTGAAAAGTAGCGAAAAGAAAAACATGTTAAAAAAAAAAAAACTTCTAGTGTCAGAAGTAAAACATTCAAATATTTTTTGGAATTTATATTCAAATACTTTTGGAAGAACAATTTTCATTGTTCTTCCAAAAGTAAGAAATTCACCACAAACTTTCTGTAAAATACACCCATATGTTAATACCATGACGACATTTTTCATTATGTCACATTTTTCTAGAATATTCTAGAATTTTGGATCTATAAATGTTGCCTTCAAATCCTTCTAAACTTTTCAAGTTCCAATGCCTAAAATCCTAAAGAAAAATTACCCCTACTAATCTTGTAACAGCAATATGCCAGAAATGTTTTGAGGGGGGGGGGAGAGGAAAATGTGTAAAATCATTTGACACAGAAAGATGATGCATATTCTGAGACAACTGCATACAGAAACCTCTAACCACAAAAAAATTAAAAAGAGGACATTTTTAATTAATTACATAACTATTTTGCTTTTGCTAAGAACTATTTTGTAAATTGTGTTTTATTACCTTGTTTACTTTTCAGATTCAAAATACTGCATAAGTTGCCAAAATTAAAAGTAATATAACTTTACAATATTACAACATATACATGTGATATTTTGGCAGTCGGGCACAGGAATGAAGAAGCTTGGCATCAGTAAGTAAGGCATCCAATGATGACAGAGAAGAAGTTAGCTGTTTCGATAGTACATCTTTATTGAAAAGTATACATTTTAGCACCTAGTT